ACTTCAAAAGTGCAAGAAAGAATCTAGACAATTTTCGGCGTTTATAGTCTTCCGATGCATTCTGTCGCCTAATTTTAGGCTCGGATATGGAGAAGCTAGTGTATTTTATGGAAAGCTATGGTCCAGAGCAACATCGACGTTGAAGACGGAATTGACTCGTCTAGGAGATATAGTAAAGTCGAAACTGAAAGAAAACCCTGCGGTGTTTATATATTATAATCGGGATGATATAAGCAGCACGGCTGATAGTATGACTGATAACATTATAGATGCGAACGGCATAATCACTGATGAGAGTTTTCGTACCAATCTTGAATTTTCTAAGAATGCCAATGTTAATTTTCACATCGACGGTGAGAACTTCATTGATCATACGAACTCCATTGATTATCCGACTCCCGCTAATTGTGAAAACTCTGGGTACATTAATACGCACGTAAATCCAAACATTGCGGTTGTTGACACATGTAACTTTCATAATGACGACACTCTTACTTATAAACATGGTACTGTTGCTGAAAATGTTGACACTGCTCATTTTGCAGACGGTGCTAGTGGAAATTTTGCCTATGATAATGCTTTCACCCTATATAGTGGTGGTGGTGATGGGTGGTAGTATTTATAGTAGTATGAATATTAATAAGTAACAGTCGTTCAGACATTAAACATAGGATGATAATAGATTGCATGGAAGTATACAATCTCAATGTCACGGTGGTCGGTATAATTAATTATCATGTATAATATATAATGATATATGTAAACTGTAATCCAATACATTCTAATACAAATTATTGCTGAATGTCATGAAAGATCTAAACTTGTGAAGTGAAAGTCTGCATGTTATAAATAGAAAAACTGAATGGCGACAGAATTTAGTCCTCGGAAATAGGAAAGAACGTGGGTTACAGTCACACTTGTTTTAAACCCTCAAAAATCGATACGCAGGAAGACGTCGTATTGTAATTATACATTACTTGCTTTTCAAAATTGCAATGGAATACTTTGTGCTTTTGTGCTTCTATACGTCGTATCGTCAATCATGCGAAACACATGCGCTCATGCTCTCTCGGGTAGACTGTTTACGATTTTACAAGATAAAATTTGCTTTTCACTTATTACACAAATTATTGAATTGCATGTAATAGTAATGGATTCCGCATTGCATTAAAAAGACGACGTATCTTCAAAAATTTCCAGCTGGTCAAAGAGCTTCGTTGTTACCAGTCGCTTTGAATTTCATAGTATGCAATTATACAATAACAGTAACTGAAAGAATAAATAAATTTACACACTCTGTAAACACCAAGGTTGCGTTCAATTACACTATTAGCAAGTTTTGAGTTGAACTCTTTTAGCACTTTTAAACCATAGGCCAAAATGTGGTGTTGGAGATGAAGATTTGGCGGTTACTGTTTCAAAGGCGGATTAGGCGCTATAGTTTATCCACGTTAAAAATTAGGGAATATAGATATCAGGTCCGATATGCTTTTACAAAGAAAAAAGTTCTGGTTGAGCACAGGCGTTTCAGCTTTAAAAGATCTTAACCCAAAGCATTAAACCGACGAATCAAATTAAGCACAAAGGCTGGAGCTTAAATAGTAGTGTTACAATATGATTAATATATGGCCGTAAATGAAAATTATTGTTCTCTTTATGAGGACATGTTTTAACAATACATATTTCAATCGAAACAGATATGGAGAGTCCCTTTGTTAATATCATGCGTGATCAAACTGGACTCTTATTTTCGCAGGATAAGCTTGATAACGTAAAAATATTCCATCTCGTATTGTTACAGCATGTTACGTACTTTCTTTGTGATAGCGTAATCAGACGTATTAAAAGACTAACATAATACTACGACAAATCATTGGCTATCAAGTTAATATTGTTTTTACATGCAGTCGAACCATTTCCACTGTTATCATAGAATAATGGACTTATTTCGTATGCATTTAACCAATATGCGTATCACTGCTCACACACACAGTACTTTATTTATTTGCTAGATCGATGAATAGAACCACGTTATCAATTGTTAACCCTGAAAAAACCTTTGTGATCGTGTGACCAAATTGTAAAAATAAACCATATTTCATTGGACACGAGACGTTTTATGTCTCTACCCCCTCAGCACACATGTCCAATGCATACAATAAATCCATTATCTTTTTCGTTGTCTTTTTCCGTTCTTGAATTATTCCCAAATCCTGGATCAGACGGAGGGACAACAAGACGATGATTTTCCTTGTGATCAGTTTTAGTGTCAAACAATACTGTAATTGACATACAATTTTGGGAAGGTAACACGGCATGTCTAATTCAAATATGTAAAATAAATAGCTGTAGATAATGAGTTCGCCTATAGTATTATCGCCAATTGTTGTAACACGGATATTAAGCCGCATAAACCGATATGCAAATGATGTCATGTCAAAATATTTGGGCGGGACTTGTCTGTTGTGTCATAGGATCCGCCCAACAGATCATATAAAAGTCTCTAATAGAATCCACACAATCAGTACGCCCATTTTGTAAGAGAAGAGAAAGGACAGAGAAAATTTAATAGAGCTGGTATCTCACCCGTACGCATACTCAATATCCCACATCCTACCTGTAGACCAGGCAATCCCAACTAGTATTGAGACCACTCTCCAATACATCCTATTACAAACAATCGACACTTTCGTATCAACCTATTTCCTCGTCCATCTTTAAACGATATGTTGAAAAATACGAGACGCCTTTTGATAACAATTCTCCAAATAACCTGGGCAATACTCCTCGTCGTCTATCTTATTGCTAACACGGTCCTCGAAGCAGCTCTCACGAAGGCCACATACACTACAACATCATTCGAACAGGCATCATCTCTCCCTCCTTTAGCATTCAGTCTCTGCAGTGACGACGTCCCCTACTCATTCGAATGTGGTGTCTATGGCAACGTAACCAAAGACTGTCCTAATTTGATACGACAAGTAGACGTTAGTAACAACAGTATTTACAATGGATGGTTTACTAGATGCTACGTATTCCAAACTACAGAAGCACTATTGCAATCCACGCCATCTGTTCCTCCTGCACAATGGACGGCATTCCAATCTCCACTATTCATCAAATATTCGTTCGCAAATGCTTCGACCATCTCTAAAATGTTTCTAATGGTATGGAATCCCTTTGACTTGCCCGAGAATGCGACATCGGGACAATTATCAACGTCGACAACACCACAGATATTGGACCCGTATAGATTGAACGCTATGGATGCTTGTAAAGAGAGAGTATACGAGTTTACTTGGAACAAGTTTGTAGACGCAAATGGGAATGAGAAATGGGACGTTCAATGGGTATCTGAGTTTGGACTATCGACCAACGCATTTGGAACTAGCACTAGTGCTATTGGACTGATACATTTGAAGCCTGGTAAGATTTCCATAGAGCGCTGATCATAATATTAATATTACACATTTTATTATCTTTACTTACAAATATACTCTTTGTCACACAGCATCATTTCAAGTGCAAACAAATAACGAGCGTCGATTCTACCCGCCATTTCTCGTCTTTACAAATTTCCTCGTTCTCCTTGCTGCCCTCTACACCTTTTATTACGTCTTAATCGCTGGTCGGGGTAAATACCGCACATGGGGATTATTACACACACTTACTCGTTACTACCCACAGCAACATATACAACCACCCGAGGACCCAGAAGCACCACTCAAGCCAACCGCTCAGGATGTGCTGCCTATATATTTGGATGGGTTGGGTCGAGCCGAGTTTGAAAAGAAATAGGAAATGCAAAGTTGAGAGTTATTATTTACTATAAGCATATTTAATACCAAATGCCCGTTGGCATGTTATAAAAGGACTTTGTAATATATTAATATTTGATAGATACAGTATTTATTTTATACCAGCTCTTTTTATTAATACATTTTTCTCTGTCATTGACTGCTCTTTTGCTCATTTTATCTCTTCTCTTCTCTTAACAAATATTCAATGTGACGTCCGCTTTGTGAATGCGCAAAGTGTTATTTCTGATCAAATAAAATGAACGTGAAACGACGAGGCACAATTTTGGAATATTGTGCCAATTATAAATAGTCGAGGATACGTGTTTGATTACCAAAATGTGGACAAAGTGACGAAAGACTTTGTTTTGGTGACATAAATACTCTTGCACCTCAATTTGATAGACTACCGACTAATCCCACGGTAGATTAGTGTCTACGAACACTGTAACAGTAACTGGCTAACTGTGATTCTTATTTGGGGCATGCTCATCTTTGGGTTGATGCAACGGCTGACATGGTAATTTTTTATACTGGTTAGGTTAGATACTATGAAAAATAATCTTTCGAAATAACTATCGGTCTTTCCGTAGTACTGCGCCAATCAATCTGGTGACGTACTTGTCGTGATTACATCTAATCGGCCTAAAACTTTTTTTCGTCCAAAAGAATCATTTACAGCACTTAGATAAACAGTCACAATGTATATGCATTGTTTGGTTCAATCTCCAGCAATTTGACGCGAAAACGCACTTATGTCTGGACAACAGATGGTTGCTAATTCTATCAAAGAGTGGACTTATGAAAAAGTGTGTGAGCACTATCGATTGAAGTCCAAACTGAAAGATAGAGCAAAGAAGGAGGGCCATACTTGATGACTGGATAACTAAAACAACTCCACCCAAAGGCGCGGTTCGTTTTTCAAAAATCAGATCTCAAAAATCATGAAGAGGAATACATCACTTTGTATTAGCAACGCGGTTTTCAAGGACAACTCAAAGAGATTCCACCAATTTGCAAGTCCAAACGTCAAAAAATTGAACAACAACACCCTTTTTGCACATTTTGGATTACATCCACTGTCAAAAAAGAGAGGCTGATCTTTTGCCACCCTTTGAAGTTCCACGATGAGGAACGGGTGATTATTGGTCTGAGCAACAGATTGAGGCTCAAGATCCCCTTGTTTACAAAGCCTGAGGATCAAATATGGTGTGTCTCTTGGAACTTTGTTGACTATGCAAGATCTGCATATTACACTTTCTTCTAACCGAACTATAACTACAAACATATAACACAAAATACTGAAATATCGAAAATATTACCAATAACTGTACCGAATCTTAACAAAAATTTTTGGTTACTGACTATAATGATGCATAATGATAAATAAATTACATTTGAAATTCAGATTTTTCTATTGGTTACGGTCTAAATTTAACAACAATGCTTTATTTTTTATTCAACGTCCGGATCGCTAAGCTTAGGAAAATATGAATGTTAATCTTGGGCTGTGCAAGCTTCGCTAAGACTAAAGACGCGCCAAAAAATACGTAAACACAGAGTCCTTGTAAGTAAACATGATTTATCCTGCATAACGAAACATCGTTAGACTTTTGTCATAAAACTTTGTTAGCTTATTGCAAGCGATCCATTATTGAAACTTTATTCGTTCGAACGAAAGGATAATAAATACAATACTCCAGTACTCTTTTAACGTCTCGTAATATACGTTATAATATAAGAAGAATATAACGGAGCAATACAGTTCGCTAAGAAGACGTACATTTGATACAATGGAATGATACATTCGCTAAGAAGA